TGGAGAAGTTGGCGAGGTGAGTCGTGGCAGCCCCAGAATCCCCTCTGGGACCCGTGTCTCACTCCCTCAGCCGGTGCCGAGTCCAGGGGAGGCTTTGGGCTGGAGGGACGGACACCCAAGTTCACCCGCGGGCTGCCCACTTCTGTTTCTTGCTCCGCTGGAAAGTAAGAGCCACCTTCGTGGAGTCCTGTTGACAGCCCAGTGCTGTTGATCACGTACATTTTTGAAAGAGAAGTGTCAGGGAGGGTGGCTTATATATTACATTTCTTAACAGTCCGGGCAAGGCGTGTGTTTGCATTCTTGCAAACGTGCGCCCTTTGTTTAATCTTTCAAAAGCCATCACGATGCAAGAATGCTTTATCTAATTCTCATGTTTCACTGGAGGATTTTTTTATATATATACCAAAAACTTAGATGTAATTCAGTTGGAAAAGTTAGATGTTTACCGAAGACTAGCTGCCTCTCATTGAACCTTGAATCGCCCTGTGCTTAGAACAGAAGAGGCACTCGACCTAAGTTTATTAAAAAGTTTTCTTCTTGGAAGGAGCGTGGCGTGGCACGGGCAAAATAGAATGACGGTTTCCCTGTTCCTCGTTGTGTTTCAGACTTAAGTACGGTCCAAGTGTCTTACAAGCAAAACATCTTAACCTTTGACATTATGTTTGATATTCTCTTTCTCTGCGTGGAGTTTAACCCGCCACAGCTTTTCATCGGAGCGTTTTATCTTTGTCCTCAGGGTTGCTGGACCGCCCCCAGGTTAGGGATTTGCGTTCATTTCCTTTGTTGTGGAGAGCTTTTTAACAGTCCCCTTGCAGCGAGTCTGTTTCCTCTGCCCTTTGGAAGCTGGTGATGTTTGTAACTGCTGTTGCTGCGTCTGCGTGTGCTGGGCTCCTTAATTACTTGAAATGAGTTGAAGAATTCTTTTTGGCTGTAATGACTAAATCTGTTTTGCCGCTTTTACTGTAAGAGAAAAGACACAAAACCTCAAGAAGTAGCTGTGTCAGCTTTTGTTTCTCTTCTGCCTCATAATAAATGTACAGATGGGTAGTGACAAGTTTTAGAGGGGGAAAAAAAACCCCAATGATCTACAGAGTCGCTTTTAAGCCGTTAGAGCCATTTACGGCATTTTATGAATGTATGCATACTTTAAGGCTATATCTGTTAGGAACTGAGGTTTCTTAGAATGTATTATGTTAAGGTTCAACTGCAAGTTTACTATGATTTGTAGTGGATGGGACAACTTTTACATCAATAATAATTGACACCATTTAACATAGCTAATAACCTTTTGCCAGGTACAGTGCTCACAGGGGTATGTAAAGATAGTCATTGTTGACATATACCGTGCATATATTAACCATGTCAACCACACCACAACCCTATGACAGTGGTTCTCAAAGTGCAGTCTGAACCAGCAGCAGCCGTGTCACCTGGAGCCTTGTTAGAAATGCAGATTCTCAGGCCCCACCCTAGCCCCATGAAATCAGAATCCCTTGGGATGAGGTCAGTAATCCATGTTCTAACAAGCCCTCCTATTGTTTCTAACACGCACCAGCGTTTGAGAGCCTGCTCTACGAAGTAGGCACTAATATCATCCCCATTTTACAGTTAAGGAAGGTAATGCACACCGTTCAGCCGCCTGTTCAAGGTTCATAGATCACGTGTGATAGATAAGGATGAAGATTCAGGCAGCCTGGGCCCAGTATATTCTTACCTGCTATGCTGATGTCCTATGCTAACTAGTCTTGCCTGTGTGTGTAAGTTTTTCTGAGATTTTTCTAAAGAAACATCATAGATTTTTTACAGTGGTCTCATTCTTCAAGGTATTGGGAACATGGGACAACATCTTCTTGTCTCTATCTGAACAAATTGGCTCTGACTAGGAAGAGATCATGAACAGAATCCAGATGGATGTTTTAGGAAAGGGCTATTTCCATGAGCAGCAGTAGATCCTGAAGCCATTTTTCTTTTTGAACATATCTCTTATATCATCATGGAAGTCATGGCCAACACCATAGGAATATAGAACAAAATTTAAAAACTCAGGGCAGAGTGGAAAACAAAAAAGCCACCAGAAGTCTCAAGCTCAAATGCATAAAGATGAAAGTCTAGTGTCCTCTGGAGAAGTTGACATTTTCTGGGACGTAATAACCTTTTTTTTTTTTTTTTTTTTTACTACCTGGACAGAAATGGCGACAGAAGATTCTGAGACACTGAGGGAGCAGAAGGAAAGATCTCTGCATGGGCTCCTTTATTGCTTTCCTAATCCTGCTTGGGTTAAATTTTTGTGGTTTAGAAGGAATTTCATTTTAGGGAGGGAAAAGAAAGCCTCGTGTTTTTAGAAATTGGGTGCTTTAATCTCGTTATGTGGCTAGAATCCAGAAGAGATGAAGGTTACGTGATCTCATTTCTCGGGCCTGGGGAGTAGTGAGAGCAAGCTTGCAGTTGGATGTGATACAGTCCACCACCTGCTGACCATCCGTGGACCCGGTTGCCTTGCCTCCCCCAGGGTACTGTTGGAAGTGAAGTTCTGCCACGTCAGCGCAGGAAACATAGCCCTCTCCTTCCACATCTTGTTTTCATTTCAGAGAAGTTTCCAGGGACTTGCCTCGTTAGCAGACAGACCCTACAATTTTATAACTAGTCATTTGTATGCAATCTGTCCTGCGGTGGCCTCTCCTCTCTATAAATATAAAGCCCGGAGGTAAGGTCTAAGCTTTTAGGTCAGGGGTGGGATCTGAAAATGGATACCACGATCTAAGTAGCAGGTCCAAGCACACAAGAGAAATGAAATCTTCCTTTTGTTTTGGTTTATTGGTGATTTATACCTGGCTGACTTCCATAGAGAATTTGAGACGACTTTCAGTAAAAAAAAACATATATAATAAGGCCATTGAAATCATCATAAAAAATGAAAAGTCATAAAAAAGAGGAGGAAATAAGCACTGTTTGTCAAAAACTGAGCCACCATTGTTATGAGGATTAAGTATTAAATTTAGCTTTAAGCTTCCTGGCAGCCATGTCAAAAAGAGAATCACGATGGGCTACCTTATTTTCACTGAATGATAAGAGGAAGAGTTGCTCATGAAGGATGATTTGGTTTTCATGGAAATGAATTCCAAAAAGAATTTTACTGGAGAGTAAACTTTAGACGACTGTCTCTCCAGTTTGCTTCTGAAAACCTCCTCTGTGAGCCTACGTATGCTAAAGGCAGTTGAATAGCACTGCTAATCAGTGCAACGTAGAAAAGAATTTGGCATCTCGAGGCCAGAAAATTGGGTTCTAGTCCCCAAGCCATTTCACCTTAATTTCCTCATCTGTGAACTGAGCACATCAATCCAAAAGTTTTCCAAAATCTCTTCCAGCTCTGACATTTGATGATCCCGTGATGAGATCATCCAGTTTAGCTGTGAAATCCCAACAATGGCTCTTGCTAGGCCCTGTGTGCCATCTCTTGCAAAATCAGTTTCTCATTTATTGGCTGTAGCCTAGAACCCTTACTGATTACTCAATCTCAACCCTCTCCTGAACTTTATTCTTTTTATTCTTGCACTAGCCTGGATATTGCTGTTTTCTCTCTTAAAATATGGTTTCTACACTACTCTAAACTCTGCAGAGGTCCCCTGCCATTTTATTCTGCATTCAGCAAATGTTTATTGCACGTATATTCTGGACCAGGCACTCATTGTACAGTGGTGAAAGGAGTTGGTGCCCTCCCAGAATTTGGGAGGGATGGGGGCGGGGAGACAATAGAGAAACACGTTACACTTGGCAGCCACCCTGGCTGCCCCAGTGAGAGGAAGCATGTTTACTCGCTCGTCAAGAGACACCATTTCCTGCGGTTCCCTTTGGTGTCTGAGATAAGTCTTCTCAGAGGGTTCAAGCCTGAATAAAGGTCTCACTTAAGCAGCATGGTGTTACAGAGCAAAATGCCAACACTGCAGTGATCCTATAATTGTCTGGTAGCACCACGACACGTTGAAGGTACTGTCTGTGATATTCTGTACTGCTGAGTCTTGATTCTGTTCACATTCAGTTTTGGGGTTTGGTCCATGATTCCGCCTTGTATCGATCAGCAAGCCATTCTGGTTCAATCTCAAAATATATGCCCCCTCTTGGGGCACCTGGGTGGGCTCAGTCAGTTAAGTGTCCAACTCTTGATTTGGGCTCAGGTCATGATCTCATGATTCGTGAGATGGAACCCCATGTTGGGCTCTGTGCTGAAAGTGCAGAGCCCGCTTGGGATTCTCTCCCCCTCCTCCTCCCCCACTTGTGCACACGCATTCTTTCTCTCAAACTAAATAAACCCCCCCCCAAAAAAAAGTAAAAAAAAAAAAATACCCCCACTCTCACCTTTTCTACTGCTGCCATGCTTACCACTGGCTTCTAACCACCATCTTTTACACGTGGACCTCCACAGCAGCACAGGATCGGGTTGGCATCCCTCCACTCTAGCACCCTCTACAGTTTGTTTTCTGTATAGCTGCTGGGATAATGTTAAAGATGGCAGACCACATCAGGTCTTTGCTGGTGAAAGCCCTTCGGTGACAGACTTCTTGTCACCATGAGAAAATTCAGTTTCTTAGTCCAGCCTTCAAGCCCTTGTCTGATTTCAGCCCCATTTAGGTCTCTGACATCATTTTCTACCACTCTGCTTCAGCCACACTAGCCTTCAGATACCCTCAGCTCATTCCTGCCTCCGCACTTTTTACTTGTTCTCTGTGCTGGAATATTCTTTGCTCACATCCTTGGGTTGCTAGCTCCCTTCTTTCAAACTATGCTTTCGTGTTTTCTTCTCAGACGGGTCTTCCCAGCTGCTCTAGAAAAAAGGACCCTTCCCACCATTCTCTACACCCTTACCCTGGTTCGTGTTGTTGTTGTGTTATAGCTTGCGTTATTATATGAACATTCTATTTTATTTGCTCCTTCCCTACAATGTACACTTCATGTCTTATTAATCACTGCACCTTGCCACCTAGAACAGAGTGATCTCCTAGCAGGTACTCAATACATATT